CATCATGAACTTTACCATGTGTTTCTTGTTTGCAAATTGAATTCAGCATTCAGCAAAAACACCACTTTTCCAAAATAAAGCATCAAAGGAGTAGCTAGCACGACTACAGAATCAAAGTGATTCTTTTCATTATCAAAATGGACAATGTCCAAAGAACGCAATACTTAAGCAGAGGACTTGGGTATAAAGTTGATTCTAAGTTTTAACATAATCCCTGCTTTGAAAAAAAATTAAAACTCCTGGAAATTCTGTCGCATCTTACTCACAAACAGTATTTGTGAAAATGGTGCTTCTCGAATGTGAATCAGAAGCACAAACAGAGCTTATGGTTCTATAAATAACCTTTCATGAATGAAGATAAGGGATCCAGTCAGCTTGTGATAACAGTCTGAAATGAGACCATCACATGTGATATATAGAGTATCAGCAATTCAATCCTCAGCACCATCGTTCTGCAATGAAGTGTAGGTTGAAAAAATGCTCTAGGCTTTAGTTTGAGAAAAGATCATCTTTTTCTGAGTAAGGTTATAAATATTTGGTTACTTCTGCATGATTTTGAACAAATTAACAATGTGGAACAGTTGGCTTTCTACTTGGTTAGGAATAAATTGGCTCAAGGATGGATGGGTGACAGAGAGAGGTCAGACATATGAGAGATGTACTCATAATGTTGGTTTTGAATGAGCTCGTGAATGAAAATAATGTAGATGTACAGCAGTGTTACGCTTTTACAAACAACTGAAAAACTTCAACAGCCCGATTAAACATAGAAATTATAAGTAATGAATATATTACTAACACATACACTTACATAATAAGTATTCCCTAATGAAACTAATGTCAACAAAATTAAGTCAAGTCAGAAAAAGTTGATTCAAATATGCAGTATATTAGTAAAAATTAGAATGTAGACTTTAAAAAACATTTAATATAATAATATCAGTAATTCTATCTTCACCCAAATCATTCGCCTGTAATCATTTTCATGGTACTTATTCAAATTTGCATTGTGGTTTGTTACCAAGACGATGAACAACATAATTCATTTTACAGAAAGCATCTTCTGGAAGTTTGCTGCCCCAGTGGTCAAATCCGGTCTATCACAGAGACACATGTTTGATTCTCACCGTGGCCTTTCATAAGAGGACATCGCATGTTCTCACTGTGCTCTCACGTTGTTTCCTCTGGGTGTTTCCCTCCTCTGTCCAGGTTAGGAGTAAAGACTAAAGCTGCCAACAGGTACAAGCATGAGCGTGAATGATTGTCTGTCAATCTGTATTAGCGCTGAGAGGGACTGCTGACCTGTTCACAGTGTGTTACCTGCAGCACATTCTCACTGCTAAGGGAAAAAAAAAACAAGAAGTGGAGATGATGAATAAAGGTGCAGAGATTCCATACTGTGCTACAGGTGTTTACCACTAGATGGCACAAAAGAACCAACAAATCTGAACTCTGCACTTTGTAGGAAAACAAGTTATTCATAATTTTCACTGTTATTATACAGCAGAAGAACACAAAGAGTCCAGGATATCCAGAAGCAGACTGTCAAGGCTGAGCTAACAGCATCTCAGCCAACTTCAACAATAGACGCATTCAAAAGTTCAGCGGGGAGTGTTTTACCTAAAGATAGCGGCTGGAAGTGTCACAAATCAGAGAGATACTGAAGAAATCCAACACAGGCACATTTGTCCAACAACGATTTGCTTTGGATACTTCATTGTGATCATTTAAGCACAGGTGTTGGTGGAGCAGTCTGCAGCATTTTTCTTTTTTTTTGTTGCTGAATTAATTTTTGAAATGTACCTGACGAGCTGAAAATGCAGCTCATTGAAAAGGAACAGGGCTGCAGACGCCTGAACATGCAAGCTGTGCAGGTTCATAACAGTGCTTCTTTCACACTTAAGGAATCAATTATTCACACACAGCGGTGACGATCTTATTTCTAATGTAGAAGTCTCCTACGTTTACACGCACTCCCCTGCACAAATATATAAGAAATAAGATGATGTGAAATTAAAGGCAGCAGGGTTCGGACAGGGGGCCTACAGCCAGACCAGCACAGGACTGGGATAACACTTCTTGGTTGTGATTTTACCGTCCTTGTACACACATTTGCATGAAAACACTATTTCTAATGTGGTGTTGAAAAGTTTATCACGCCTTGTGCCAATTTATTTTTGTGCTTACCGTACTGCCGGTAAAATATATATTAATAAAGTAAAAATAGCTTTAAGGAGTTTTTCAAGAAACAGACTTCAAAACTCTCTACAAATAACTCAAAACTATCATGTGTTTTCATTGTTAAAGTTTACTCACTGAACTTTCTTTAGGCCACTATATTAAGCATTCATATAGAAAGTACCTGATAGGATTATTTGTTTTCTGCTACATATGTATACACATCCCCTATTTTCCCGGAAAATTACTATAGTTTTGGTGCCATTAACATGTTTTGCATCCAGTGTTCATTTTAAGATTAACACAAGAAACATCAGCTCTGCCCAGCCTCCAAAATAACCATAGTCAAGTTGAAACCTCTCTGAAACAGTTTTAGAAAAAAAAAGATGTGTTTATGTAATGTAGGAATAATGTTTCTAATACTTTTATTCCCTAGATAATAATGACAGTCATTTCATGGGTGATCCATGAACCATTACCTTTGTCCACAGTTGGACCCTGCATGTAGGTCTATTTTTGCACATTTAAGGTACAAGTAATCTCTTTAGAGGTTAAAATACTTATTATAGTGAGAGATGGAAAAGAGAAAAAAATACAAAGAAAATAAAATCAATAGAGGAAGACAGTAGACAGTAGACAGCAGGTTCCATTATGGCAACATCAATAAGTCAGAAGTATAACTGCCTGCCAGACAGTACCTCCATTGAAGCAGGTATTTTAAAATAACAACACCTGCATGTCTGTTTTAATGTGTCTGAATGAGGGTTTCATGCGTGTTTAAATGTGAACTTCAATGCACGCAGAAGCGCAGGAACTGCTTTAAGAAAACACCTTGATCTTAATATGATGTAATAAATCCATTATGATCCATTAAAAATACCGCACATCGACCCACCTGCATTAATATTTTACCTGGCGACCCATTTATTGTGAGCCAGACTAACATTACAATGTAAAATTCCACAGAAGCTCTTGTTCCCTTGTATAAGTGGCTGCACAGTGCAGTCCTGTGAGACTGTTACCTGTGATGCTGGAGTCTCCCCTGAATAAATCTTGTAATATTTCTGGTAATGCATGAGGATTGAGTTGATGTTACATTCATTCAGTACTAAGTGTATTTGAGTGTTGTCCTGAGTTAACTTTATTATTTCAATGTTCACAGACAAAATAGAAGTCGTATTTTCCTTAACTGAAGTCACAATCAACAGAGACTAAAGGCAGGAATTTTAGTACACCCAATTCATTGCATGTTCTCCTAAGCAGGAAAAAGTTCCCCCGTTGTTGTTACTTTATTTGGTAAACGATAACCTTAAAAATGTACCAAATAACCATCAGCACAGCTGTGTTAGTTTAGTTGGTTAATAATAAGTTTAAAAATTTACTTAAATAACCATCAGCACAGCTGTGATTTGGACATAACGGCTAGGCCGTAGGCCCAGTGCAAAACATAATCACAGCTGTGTTAATATTCAGTTCAATATGACGACCTCAAGTGTGACATCGCCTGTACACAACACTTCTACATGCAGTACACGAGGTAAATAACAGAAATAGTCTGCAATATAATATTATTAATATTATTTTGTAATCATTTATTTTTCTCTGTCTGCACAATAACTTGACTGAAGCTGAAATGTTACCTAGCAACACAAACATTTTCCTGCACTTTTACTACTTTTCTGTGAGTCTGTTGACAGTTGCTCTTGTGACATTTTTATTTGATTAGTCAACGGCCGTCTGCTGTAATGTTAATTCACAAATGTAAGAACCCCTTAAGTGAAGTGATGCATGTTGTGAAAAGTCTCGGTGCTGTTGGTACACTATATCTATATGAAGCGCTCATGAAATGCCTCATGGCCAACCAGATTACTGTTATATAAGACTAAACATGACACAGTCATCATCATACAACAGTTAGTTTCAACCCATATGTACAGTCTGTGGTTTCAACCAAATAATGTGTTCCCAATGCATGAGCTTTTATAAAGAGTGAAACCAGGGGATCCTCGGCAGAGATGGCACAAAGATACTTCAAGCTAATCTTTTTAGGCTTTTAGACCTAACGGTAACTCTATAAACAGTTTGTTCAGGGAGGAAACACTTCAACGTAACTTATTGGATAATTGTATGCAATTTTTTTTTCATAATATAACACTATCTCTCTTACACAATTTTATTTAGTTTCAGTAATAACACAGAAGTAGAGCACATACACAGAGGTAGCAGTATACAAATAGAGCCAACAGTAGTCTCTGTGTACAGCACAAGATAGCTGAGGCCTATAGGTGTTGCACACACAGCTACTTCACCAAAGAGCAAATAGGACATAGCATGCAAAAACGAGGTTATATTGAAATACATCTCAGCATTGGTGAACTTTAGCTCTGTAGGGTAAGAAATAATCAATCAAACTTGTCAACATGTTTTTGTCCATTCGGCTGCATTTCATTCAGGCATTTAGTGTTTGTTGAACAAAAAAAATGTAACCATTGACTATTTAACATGGTGTGTGTTTACAATAGTTTTGATGAATAGGTTGTAGGTCAGCCTGAATTATTTCCAAATATCACAGAAAGAAATAATCTGAGTGCAAGTGTCATAAAATGTCACACACAAAATGCAATATGCTATGATATTTGAAAGAGACCAATAAAGACATTATGTTGACTGACGGGCCCAATCCGCCTGCCAAGAGTCAGAAGTGTTTATTGATGAGTTGCAGTTGGGGCTTTGTTGCCAGGGGGCGTCACTGAGCAGCTCAGGCAGGTGAATATGCTTCCATGGTTCACTGTACTCCTGCTGTGTGAGCTGCAGGAGGAGCAGCCACACACAACTCCAGCGGCTCAAGTGAAGCAGGTTGGATTCAACACAGTCAGAAAAGCTGATTTTGTTTGTTTGTTTGTTTGTTTGTTTATCTTTCTTTTTCGGCTTGAAGTAGTTTGTAAAGTGAAGGCGCGCGGAGCCGGTGGTTCTCCCTGGGATGTCAGCCGCTGTTTGCAGGCGGGATGGGAAGAGGAGAGGGGGCTTTCTACGTACACGTTACCTCGCTCGTGTCTGTTAAGTGCTACCTGAAGAGTATTAAGAAGCAGTCGAGGAGCGGAGAGAGTGTTTGGTGACAACTTTAGAGAAGCACCTGTCTGCCGGTGGATGTTGCGCAATGGAGATAAAGACGAGACTTCGAGCCGTGCTGATGTTAATATGGATCTCTCAAGGTAAGCCAATGAATGCACGAGAAGGGCATTAAGTCGCGTGCTGCCGTAAGTGGATCAAACACGAGTTCAATCGCAGTTTGTCAGCGTTAGAAAAAAAGTAATAACTTAACGTTTCAAACGACCTTTATTTGGAGAAATGGGGTTCCTCGTGAAAGGCAAAGACGGTGCCGAAACACTTCAATCCCCTTTTCTACATTCAAACGTCAAATTTGAGCAAATTGAAAAAAATTCAAGAAAAAAATAAATAAATAAAGAGAACATTTTCTCTGATATCTGACTTGGGCTATTCCACACAGGGAAGCTATTGCGAGTTCTAATGTGATTCGTAAAGGCATTGAAGTTCCAGAAATGCAATGTGTGCGCTGAAGCTGTGTGACCTTTGATGGTTCTACCTCTGAGCTAAAGTCTTAAGACGCTTCGCTCAGATTCAGTTTATTGGCTATCATGCAGCTGCAATTAGCTTGTCAATTGTGTCACTCTTTGAGAAAGAGCCCCTCACTCTTGTTGTTTTCCCCTACTGACATTTTGAATTCAAAGCAGGGACAAGCACACCGACAAATCATAAAAAAAAAATGTAATTTTTATTGCTGTGGCTGCTGCTGCCTGTTCCTTTCTTTTTCTTTTTTTTTTCTTTTACTCAAACCAGAGGTCCCCTTTTAGGCACACAGCAGAGTACTCCTAGTCTTAAGAGGGCATAATGCAGTTGCATGGTTGAATGCTTTGAAATGAATTTTAAGGAAGTCAAATGTTGCCTCTCCCCCCCCCCTCTTTCTTTTGATAGTTATTGTCCCTTGTGAGGTTAAAAATAACATAAAGGCTACCTGAAAGAAAAACATGTCTTTCTGGAAATCCCACACTATGGATGTGGGTCACTTAACATGATGAACATAATGGCCTGGACCCAATTTGGGCTTTTTAATGGCTCTTGCATGCATGAAGTGGTAATCTGACAACATTGGGCAGAATCACACTTCAATAATGCCCACAAATTAACATTACTTTTTGAACATCTTGCATGGCTTTTAGTGAACAATATTCGGATATAAAGAGATTTTTGTTTTCCTGTTTGTCTTTTAATCATCTCTCTGAACTGCAAACATTTCATTTGCAGCCAAAACTCAGAGCAGTTTTCCAGCTGGGTGCTGTTACTCCACATAATCACAAACAAACCCATGAATCTTGACAAGACGCGTTAAATCGTATTAATTTGGCTCTTTATCCGCGCATATTCTGCATCATTCAGACTCTACTCAAAGAAGCCCTTAGGCTCTTCTGACTTGGCCACTCTTGTTCCTGTCAACTTTGCTGCAGCATCATTTCTTACCAGATGTTGGCTTTCCTCCAGTGTGGAAATCAAAGATTGTTACAGCTTGTGTCTTTTATGTCAGGTTTTGTTTGGTTCAAACTCGGGTTGGCTTTGGAGCAGCAGTGGAGAAGACAAAAATGTGACTTTGGATCCATCTCCAGATTACTTTCTGAATTCTAAACTGACTGAGAAAGTATGCATGTTTGTCCTTTAACAATGTGAAAGGACATATGGCTTAAAAAATTCAGCTTTTTTTTCAGGAGGCTTCTGCATTGAAACCAATGTGGCGTGACATTACATGTGCTCTCCTTTGATTTGGTGTGGCTGCTAAATGGGATGAAACAAATGAATGAATTCGGTTTGCGGCTCACCGGCGAGGAGCTTCAGTCGCTTTCTTTTCTTCTGATCGAACAGATCTCTTAATTTGTCTGATGGATTTCTTCTCACATTTCTGCCGCTAAGCTTCCCAAAGAAAAGAACCCCAATCCTTCCTGTCAGAAACTTTACAATTAGTGAATCGAGAAGCTGCTGCGCAGAACTGCAGACTGCTATTGATGAAACAGAGCAGCTCATTGGCTTCAAATGAGAAGGGCAATATAGCTAATTGGCTACTTATACATCGCTGAATACTTAGCTCCATTTAGGACTCTTCATTATTTATGATCTGGGACAGATGCTGAACATTTTCTAGAGTTCTATAACCACTGACAGCAGCAAATCATGTTGTATCTGTATCATTTAGTGGGTCCGTGCTGTGACGCATTACTGCTGTTCATCAGATAGCTCAAACTGGCCTGAGGATGATGAAAAGGTGACTTTGCTCCCTGCAGTCTCAATACACAGTTAGGTTAACATCCAGCCCTCTTGTAAAAATGCCTTTCGTTTTGGCAGGACTATTAATATATTGTCATATTTTAAGATGATTGTGCTCAGTGACAGCTGGTTTGTAATGAGATGGGGGACCTCTTGGCTCTGGTGTAAGCTTATGTTTGTGAGCCAGCTATATCCCTTTCCACAGAATAACTCAGCGCTTAGGGTAATTCTGATCATGTTTCGCTGATTAACTAAACATGAAATCAGTCGGTCAGAGTGGAGCATTGACACAAAAAAAGCATTTCCAGGGTGCTAAATGAAAATCAACTATTAGGGCCATGCTTCCCTTTGGCAGCTTTCAGCTTCATCAAAGAGTGACAAAGGGAGTCTCAGTCACTGAGGAGAATGAAGCGGATATTAAGTTTGCATTTCTAAATGACAAACAGCATGTGTAAGAGTGCGTTGATTACTGTAGTTTTGGAAGGGATTGTGTAAATCTGACAAATTACAACCTTATCTCAAGCTCCACTAGTTTGGTCTGTTTTCAGCCCCTTCTGGTGGTTGTACGCGGACAGTTTGCTCAGTCTTTGTAAAAATGGTTTATTTGATGCCGCTGAAAATTGACTAAACATTGCTAACAGTATGTAACAGGACTGTCACCCCCCCCCCCAAAAAAAGTCTTGGATCATCTAATGTGAACAAGGGATTGCGTTCTCTCAGTGATGTAGAGGGACGTAGCTGATCTGTGATCTGATTGGTACAAATCACCTCCCACGGTTTGGACGTCGTGAACCGTTGATTATTAAGAAATGTAACCATGATAGAATGAAATACAGAGAAACAACCGCGGCCTATTTTGAGTTATAATTCCCCTTATATCAATCCACAGTGGCATTGAAAAGAGAGAATACCAGTGCATGTTCTGTTTCATTCAAAAGTGCCAAAATTGGTTGATCGTGCATAATAAGTCACTGTTGGTTCACATGAAGCGGCACGTTCATCACAATCTATCAGGGATGCTTTTGAGGCAAAGCTGACCTTAGTGTTCCTGTAAGATATAATGGTAATGGAAGTAGGGTGATGGACAAAACTGTGACAGTGTTTTGGTACTGTATAGTGCCAAGAGAAAGCCATGTGACAAAGGCAGTACATGGAGCATGACAACAAACTGGTAGTACATCACCCTGGTGTGTCAGCGATGAGGGTAGAGGGTTTAAGATGGCTCAACAACACCATCTTACTGGCCATTCACACAGAATTCGACAGGGCTAAAGCTATTACCAAAATCTATTGGAATGTTTTCCACTGCAGACACAAGGACACACTCCTGCTGGAAAACAAAGGGTTTAAAAATATGATTAAATTGCTCGACACAGGCGAAAAATCCCCCATGCACCCATTCCCTTTCAGGAGAAGTGCAAGGTTTTTATGAAAGGATGAGACCAAGATTGTCTAAGACTTATCCAAGGTATCCTCTTTTGGCCCAAACACAGACAAGTTGACCTCCAGGCCAACTGAATGTTCCATCACTCACGTGCTCATCACACAAATGCAGAGTGGGAGATACACACAAGGCTCTGCATATTCTCTAGAAGAGAGAAAAATCTGGCGCAGGTGGAGGAGCAGCGGAGTGGAAGCTAGCGAAGCACAATAGCATTAAGGGGAGACACCAAAGATTGGGACTGTCTGTATGGTCATGAACTGAGTTTAAACCAATGAATGACACACCAACAATTTGAATTTAGTCAATTCCCTCTGACCCTGAATTTAAACTCATCATTACAGTTTGAATATAAACTGGCTCCCCCCCCACTTGAACAAGTGCTTGAAATTTAAAAAAAATAAGTTTTTTTTTTAAAGGCTTTAATATGCAATTTTTCACACTTAAATATAATAGAAATCAAGTATATCCTCTGAAAATAACTCTGTGAGTCATGACTGTCTACAATGGGTGTAACACCCGAGTCCCACTGTCTGTGATGCTCTCAGAGTTTTCCGAGTCCTATCTTCACTTTGTTTACATCGCCGGGACGGCCGGCCGGCTCATCCCCTCGCGTATAAAAGTTGTTTAATTGAGGGACTAGAGAAAAGAAGAATAACATCCTGTAATCACTGCTGAATTGAATGTCCCGTAAGCGTTTCTAGATCACGGTCATTTCGGGTAAATTTACATGCAGTGTGAAGATACAAGCATAATAAAGATCGCTAGCATTAGCATGCTAACACAACAATGCAGCCCGAGTTGTTTTGGTTTCATGCTGATGCTCAAGGACGACATCTGCTGGATTAAAAAATCTCATATAAAGCCTTTATTATTCCACCAGTGCACATAACCCACTGAAGACCAAGCATGATAATCTACAGGCAGTACGCTACGCTATGCTACGATACAATACAGCACGGTATGCAACGAACCCGTAGGGCAAGATATGTCACACACAACATGGTATTATCAACAGGGATTCTGCAGGAATCATCATTATATAATGTAACGACATGATATTTATTTAATTGAAGAATATTAATCATCACTCAAAAGAGAAATTGCATGATTAATGTTTTTATTCACTGCATTATGGTGTCAGTTTCACCTCTTATCATTGGCTATCATTTAGCTTCTTTACACCGCTCTCTGATATTATCCTGTCTTCTTATTATTGTTGTACTTTTATCCTGCTGTCAACTTCTTCTTTGGCCAGTTAACTTCTGTTCATATTACCCTCACTCATGTTACAGGCCACCATGAGGAGTCATGAAGTAATGATGCAGTAAGTCAAAGTGGTAGGGAAAACTTTTTCCAGCACCATGTTTTTTTAATTTAAATACTGATATTTGTCATAAGCGATTTAATTAATCTATCACATGATTCAGGATGACGATA